GCGGTGGCTCATGCCTGTAATCCCAGCACTTTGCGAGGCCGAGGTGGAAGGATCACCTGAGGTCGGGAGTTCAAGACCAGCCTCACCAACATGGAGAAACCCTGTCTCTACTAAAAATACAAAATTAGCCGGGGTGGTGGCGCATGCCTGTAACCCCCGCTACTTGGGAGGCCAAGGCAGGAGAATTGCTTAAACCCGGGAGGTGGAGGTTGCGGTGAGCTGTGATCTCTCCATTGCATTCCAGCCTGGGCAACAAGAGCAAAACTACGTCTCAAAACAAACAGAAAAACAAACAGGAAATATTACCTATTGCATGAGTGAAAAAATTTAGAAACTATTTCATAAGCCTTTTCCTGTTATATCCTGCAAATGTTTTTGCTTGTTGATTTTTAGAAGTTCTTCAAATGTCAGCCGGGCAAGGTGGCTTATGCCTGTAATCCCAGCAGTTTGGGAGGCCAAGGTGAGTCGATCACTTGTGGTCAGGAGTTCGAGACCAGCCTGGCCAACATGGTGAAACCCCGTCTCTACTAAAAATACAAAAATTAGCCAGTCATGGTAGCATGCACCTGTAATCCCAGCTACTCAGGAGGCTGAGGCAGGAGAATCACTTGAAACTGGGAGGCGGTGGTTGCAGTGAGCCATGATTGTGCCGCTGTACCACTCCAGGCTGGGCGACAGAGCGAGACTCCAAAAAAAGTTCTTCAAATGTCAAGAAAATTCATGTAACCAGGCAGTGTATCTTTTTTTATTGCTGCTATAAATGGGATGCTTTAATACATTTTAAAGCTATATACATATATAGTATACAAGAAATGAATTTTAAAATATCCCTAAGTCTCTTGCTAGCTTATAGAATTCTTTTATTGAAATATCTTTAGTCACATTGCTTGGGCCTATCATATATACAGTCATCTGCAAATAATTTTGCCCTCTCATTTCTTATTTTTCTTCTTTTCTTATTTTTCAATCTCATTTCTTTCTTCTTGTTTTAGAGACAGGGTCTCACTCTGCCGCACAGGCTGGAGTGCAGTGGCGCCAACATAGCTCACTGCAGCCTTGAACTCCTGGGCTCAAGTGATCATTTGCCTCAGCCTCCTGAATAATTGGAGCTACAGGCGC